CTGCTGAGGTCACGATCCCAGGGGACATGATCCCGGGGTCCTGGGACGGAGACCAGCACGGGGCTCCCTACGCCGGGAGAAGTCTGCTTCTCCCTCGGCTTCTTCTCCCCCCTGCTTGTGCTTGCGCTCGCTCTGGGTGAAATAAAATCTTTTTAAACAGTAAGTAAATTAAAAAGACAAAACCTCGGTCAGAAAGCAGACGTAAAATAACTACAAACTGAGAGGAGTAAGAGAAGACACATACAAGGATGTGTAATAAAAGTGGCCGCCTCTGTCACCAGTCTTAGGGAGGGATCCTCTCTAACCCTTGGAGTGACAGCAATGGCTCTTACTCATGGTGAATCCCGCTTTGTGCTGAGTCGCCTCATGGGGGCTGGCGGGCCAGAAAGACCAACTGTGTGTTTAGAGGGTTGGGGCTTTTGATCCTCGTGATATCCCTGGAGAGGAAGGGGATTGGAGGGAAGGAGAGTGGGAGATGGAGTTGAATTTCATGGCCTGCATAATGAAACCCAAATAAAAACTCAGGACCCAGAAGCGGGTGCGTCTTCCAGGTTGGCAATACTCTGTGTAGTGTGCCAGGTGCCAGGAGGGTGAGGTGTTCTGACCACTGGGAGGGGACAACAGAAGCTTCAAGTGTGGGACACTCCCAGACCTCTCCCTATGCGTCTTTCCCTATGACTGGTTTGGTTTGTATTTTATTTTATTTTATTTTATTTTGCCATAGTAAAATTGTAATCCTAAGTGTAACATGTTCCTGGGGTACCTGACCGGATCAGTCAGAGGAACGTGCAACTGGATCTCCCAGTTGTGAGCTCCAGCCCCACACTGGGTATAGAGATTACTTAAAACTTAAAAAAATAAGTGTAGGGGCACCTGTGTGGCTCAGTCTGCCTTCAGCTCAGGTCATGATCTCAGGGTCCTGGGATCAAGCACAGTGTCAGGCTCCCTGCTCAGCAAGGGAGTCTGCTTCTCCCTCTCCCTCTGTCCTTCCTCCCCCCACCCCCCCACCAGACACACCACTGCTTGTGCTCTCTCAAATAAAATCTTTTTTAAAAAAAGTGTAACATGCTCCAGAATTGTCTTTATAAATTGTTGACCCTCAAGGAGTAGTGGGAACCCCCTAATTAGTAGCCAGCTGGTTAGAAAAGCCAGCTTTCTGACCTGGAAACACCCCTGCCTGCCTGGCGTCTGAAGGAAGTCTTGTAGGAGGCTGTGCTCTCTGTGCTCTTAACCTATGAAGTCTGGCCTAACTCTAGGTAGCTGGTGTCAGAAGTTATTGCAAGCGTACTTACAGAAACATTCAGAGGCCCTAACCTAGTCCAGGAGTCCCGGGAAGCCCTTCTGCTTGAGTCATGATGAACTTGAGACCCAATGGAAGACTGGAAATTGGACCAAAGGTATGTATGCTTTGCCTGGGGTGGAGGAGGGAGAAGTGTGAGGAGATGCATTATGTTCCAATGCAAAGAAAATAACTGAGATGTACACAGAATAACACAGAAAGCTTCTCCTTATTCAATGCAAATGTACATTCTCATTCTTCTTGTTCCAAAACATTGCCAGTGAACCTCAGCTGTTAGAAGTATACCCCCAAGCCTCGGGAACAAAAGAGACTTGTCCAAGGCCATACAGATGACATGAGGCCTAGCATTCCACTCTCTTGAAAACTTGAACAGACTACATTGCCATTAGATTAAGACTCCTAGGTGGCTCAGTTGGTTAAGTGTCTGCCTTTGGCTTGGGTCATGATCTCGGGATCCTGGAATGGAGCCCCACATCAGGCTCCCCATTCAGTGAGGAGCCTGCTTCTCCCTCTGTGCCTCCCCCTGCTCATGCTCTCTCTCTCCCTCCTCTCCCTTCCAAATAAATAAATAAAATCTTAAAAAAAAAAAAAAAGATTGTGACTCCTGAATGAACAAATAACTATCCCTGCGTTGTGCACGGTAAACATGAGGTAAATATTCAGGTCACTCCTATGAGGTAAAATATACCAGGAACCACGCTTATAGAAAGCACAGTTGGAGCAAGACTTGTGCCTTGTTAGCCCTTAACGGCTCTACATTTTAAAACCCCTGTTGTACAACACGAGCACAGAATCCTGAAACAGAAACAGTATGGAATCCCCACACTTGTTTGTGAGTCAAATCATTAGTGAGTTGTAATACCCTTAGTGGATCATAACCAGTCTTTTTTTTTTTTTTTTAAGATTTTATTTATTTATTTGACAGACAGAGATCACAAGCAGGCAGAGAGGCAGGCAGAGAGAGAGAAGGAAGCAGGCTCCCCGATGCGGGGCTCGATCCCAGCACCCCGAGATCATGACCCGAGCTGAAAGCAGCGGCTTAACCCACTGAGCCACCCAGGCGCCCCACCAGTCTTTTTAATAAAATAGAATTTATAGTATCCAAACGCAGGGCATCTGGCTCTTGGTTTCAGCTCCGGTCACAATCTCAGGGTCCTGGGATCAAGCCCAGCATCAGGCTCCCCACTCGGTAGGGAGTCTGCTTGACATTCTCTCTCTCCCTCTGCCCCTCTCCCTGCTCATGCACTCACACGCAGTCTCAAATAAATCAATCTTAAAAAAATTATATTATATATATATATATATGTATATGTATATATATACATACATATACATATACATATACATATATATATATGTATATATAAAACATGAAAGCAATCTGTGTAGTAAGGACCAGTACTGCCACATGCAACTTATGTCAGTTAAATATATCCATGTTTGTACTGGTTGCAAAGTAAAGTTAAAGCTACTACAGATCATAATCAAAAAGTATGAGAACACTGCTCTAGTCCATGTCCCTTACTTCACCAATCAAGATATTTAGATATCTTGATATTTACTTCACCAATCAAGATATTTAGCTACAGAGGCTGACAGGCTTGTCCAAGGTCTTGCACACACAGCCACAGAGCTGGGTCAAGAACAAGATGCCCCTACGCTCCAGTCCAGGGCTCTTTACACAAAAACCTAGAGACCAAAGGAGCACTCTATGTTAAAGACTGAAATAACACAAATTTATATATACACTATAAATCATACACAACATAATGGACACTAATAAACACTGTAAGATACAAGAAAATTATATACCATATATGGTCTCCATCTACAGTGATAGACTATATAGGCAATGCATCTTTATGTAAGTTTAACTGGAAATACATGCAAAAATGCTCAAGATTATCAATTAGTATTTATTGAACCATATTTATGAAAAACTAGATTCTAAGCACCATAGGGGATGCCAAACAGGAAATATCCAGTCTCTGGATATAGGAAAATAGAGCTCTGATTTTTACAATTTACGGGTTGTTTTTTTTTTTTTTAAGATTTTATTTATTTACTTGACAGATGGCGATCACAGGTAGGCAGAGAGAGGGAGGGGAAGCAGGCTCCCCGCTGAGCAGAGTCCAATTCCAGGGCTCGTTCCCAGGACTCTGGGATCATGACCTGAGCCAAAGGCAGAGGCTTTAACCCACTGAGCCACCCCAGGCGCCCCTAGAATTTATGTTTTCAAGAACCATTAGGTTTTCCTGGTGCTGTGGCCAAAAGAAATATTTTTTTAGTAATCAGTAATAACTCACTGTCCCTCAATCCCCTTATTCACCTGATACACATATCATGGATTCTGCCTGCCTCGGAACAGCACCCCTGGATTTCTCCCACTCCTCCCACCTGGGCACAGATGCAGCTTGGTGAGATTTGTGAGATGGGCAGCAGCCACAGCATGAACTTGAGCCCCAGGGGAATGCACTGATACTCTCTCCCCTTGTTGAATTTTATACTTTGTGACTTAATTACCATATTTTATCAGAAAATACCCCTTAAATGGGATTTTTTTTTGAAGGACTGTTTCATTCTACTGTGTGATACTAATTTAAGAATCACAAGTTTTCCTGGGAAAATATTTTTTTGAATTAAAAAACAAATAAAATTAGAAATCTGCTTGATAGTTTGCCAAGGACTTCAGTAACAACTTTAATTACTGGTTAAAAAGTCAAAGCAACTGGGGTGCCTGGGTGGCTCAGTGGGTTAAAGTCTCTGTCTTCAGCTCAGGTCATGATCTCAGGGTCCTGGGATCGAGTCCTGCATCGGGCTCTCTGCTCAGCAGGGAGCCTGCTTCCCTCTTTCTCTCTCTGCCTGCCTCTCTGCCTACTTGTGATCTCTGTCAAATAAATAAAATCTTAAAAAAAAAATCAAAGCAACATTTCATATAATATTCTTGGGTTGGTTTATTAACGAGGTTGCTGAAAGAAAATAAAAACCCAGAAGTCCACTTTTCACAAGTTCAAGAGAATGGGGTTAAAAATTAGTAGCTATTATATAACAGCCCTTAAAACCCTTTCTTCTTAGGGACTGGGATTTGTATTTGATCAGTATTTCGACTCTGTCTAGGTCCAGTCAGTATTAAGGTGTGTGTGTATGTGTAGGTATATTATATATACATATACATATATACATATGTATATGTATATATATGTATATGTACATGTATATGTATATGTATATGTATATATAAATTTGCTCACTTTAGTCTCATCCCAAATAATTCTCAAAATAACCATCTGAAATGTTAATTACACATTTCTAACTTAAACTAATATATAACCACTAACTTACACTAGTACATAACCACTAAAATTCTAAGTGTTTACCCTAAGTCTAAAATCTTTAAAACTATACATATATCAGAAAGCAACAGATGTAATAAGGACCAGTACGGTCATGTGCAACTTTCGTGTCAGTTAAATATATCCGTGTTTGTATTGGTCACAAAGTAAAGTTAAAGCTACTACAACAGATCATAATCAGAAGTATGAGAACACTGCTCTAGTCCATCAGCAGAAACACATAATCATTGGTGACTAATCTGCCTACATTTTAAAACAAAGGCTTCAAAGGTGTTATTACGATGTGAACATACTGAACAGGTTTCCACGTTTCACACGCACCATCCATAAAAAACTCTGAAACTCAATTCATGGGTTTACCACATATTTATTACCAGTACTCAGTGGGAACAAAATAATCTTCAGGTGGTTACTTCTGTTTTTTCTGTTTCTTAGCTTGTCCACTTTTCTTTTGTCCTTTCTTTTTCTTCTTAATAAGAACAGCTTTTTCTCCAATAAACAAACTTTTAGAAGGTCCGACATTTTTTGAAGCAAAATTAAGTCCCTGCTTATTAGGTTTACTGACATTCTTCAAGCCGGGATTTGAATTTGATTTTAATTTTTCTTTATTAACAGAGCGCATCACTCTGAGTTTTCTTCCCATCAATTCAGAATTATTTAATTTCAGAGCAAGATGAACAGCATCTGTATTCTGCAATAAAAATTAATATATTAATTTCCACCAGAAATTCCTCTGCAAAGGAACTACTAAAATTGTGACCTGAATGGATTAGAACAATTTTCCAGCTTGCCCATAGACTTCTATTTCCATCTCCACGAGAGCCAATCCCCTGGGTTACACCAGCTGTGCTTGAAGTGCTGTTTTCATCATGATCCTCAGGAGTCTTCCCCCAGGAAGCACTCAGATGCCTTGTCACAACCTGACAGGCTTCATCTTTCTCATTGTAAAAGGGAAGCTTTGGCCAATGACCTTGGTTACATGCAATCTTTTAAACCACTGAACCCTCCCCCCACCCACCCACAGGCTCTTTCTGCAGAAGCCCCACTGTGTTAGCTGACTTGAGAGAAGGGAACAGTCTCTGAGATGTTCAACTAGATGCCTTACAGCCCTCTGTTTAGATCTCAAATTCTATTACTCTTTTATTATACCATAAAACCACTAAATGCTAACAGTCCTGAATATTCATGAAATTTTTGTTAAGGACTTCACCACCTTATCAAGTAAGAGTAGACAGCAGAGAGACAGTAAGGTTACTCCAACACAGTCAAGACAGAAACAAAAGGCTATGCCCACCTCTGTCAAAAGCTCTCTGGTAATAAAACACAGCAAGAGTACTAAACATGGCCGCATCTCTTTGATGAGGGAGCAGAAGGCAAGCTGAGGGCAAAGCACAAGCGGACACCTAGCAACCCAACCCCCAGTATCCCCAGTAGGATGACTGTGAGATTCCTCAGGTGTTCTTGGTTGCCCTTAAACTAAGGGAACGCAACCCACGGAATGGGAGAAGATATTTGCAAATGACATCTCAGATAAAGGGCTGGTATCCAAAATCTATAAAGAACTTCTCAAACTCAACACCCAAAAACCAAATAATCCAGTCAAGAAATGGGTAGAAGACATGAACAGACACTTCTCCAAAGAAGATAAATGGCTAACAGACACATGAAAAAGTACTCAACATCACCAGTCATCAGGGAAATACAAATCAAAAGCATAATGAGATACCACCTCACACCAATTAGAATGGCAAAAATTAACAAGATAGGGAACAACAAATGTTGGCGAGGATGTGGAGAAAGGAGAACCCTCTTACACTGTTGGTGGGAATGTAAGCTGGTACAAGCCACTCTGGAAAACAGTATGGAGGTTCCACAAGAGGTTAAAAATAGAGCTACCCTATGATCCAGCAACTGCACTACTGGGTATTTACCCCAAAGATACAGATGTAGTGAAAAAAAAGGGACACATGCACCCCAATGTTCAGAGCAGCAATGTCCACAATAGCCAAACTGTGGAAGGAACCGAGATGCCCTTCAATAGATGAATGGATAAGGAAGATGTGGTTCATATATAAAATGGAATATTACACAGGCATCAGAAAGGATGAATATCCACCATTTGCATCAACATGGACAGAACTGAAGGGGGTTAAGTTGAGTGAAATAAGTCAAGCTTGGAAGGACAATTATCATATTTCACTCATAAGTGAAACATAAGGAATAGCACGGAGGACTACAGGGGAAGGGAGGGAAAACGGAATGGGAAGAAATCAGAGAGGGAGACAAACCATGAGAGCCTCTGGGCTCTGAGAAACAAAGTGAGGGTTACAGGGGGTGGGGTGGGGAATGGGGTAACAGGTCAATGGGCACATGTTGTGATGAGCACTGGGTGTTACACACAAATAATGAATCGTTGAACACTATATCAAAAACTAATGATGTACCATATGCTGGCTAACTGAACATAATAAAAAAAATAAAAAGAATAAAAACTAAGGGAAGGGGAAAACAAATGGTTAACTGAGATCATAGGATGTGAGTGTCCTTCGGTTTATAAGTGTCTTAATCATTCACAAAGAGAAAGCATCCTTATCAACAGCCTAAATTCCAGAGACCCATGGATTCAGTTTCCTGGAGCCCTAACATCACCCTCCCCTCCACAGTGATGTGGGAAACAGAGGCAGAAAGGAATGTAAATAAAATCAAATTTGTTTTTAACCTGTAGCCTACTGACAAATACTTGGACAGGCAGAAGATAACATTCCTCCAGGGAACTCTCAACTACATTAATGTTAATGCCTCACTAGAGGGAAAAATAAACTTCCTTAGCTTGATAACTGCCAGGCCCACAGGATCCTGGGAGTCTTCTTTACCATAATAAAGTCCTTTTGGACACCTCCCTTTGTCCTTTCCTCCCCTAACTCCCAAGTATTTAATCAGCTACCTCTCACACTTAAAATGCAGTCATTTCAGCCTTCCTGTCCCTTGCTTTCATAAAATCACCCTTCTGCGCCAAAGACATCTCAGGAATTCTTTCTTGGCTGTCAGCACTGCATCCCAACACCAACATTCCAAAAACTATGGGGCTCAGGCTTTTCATCTGGACTCCTAGCTTCAGAGCAAACTTGGTGAGTGCTTTCTCTTCTCTTCCTTTACTCTCATTTCAGGGGTTTTAAAGGAGTACTAACTGGAACACTTCCATGCTGATTGCTCAGGCAATCCTTTAGCCTGTGGCTACCTTACCAGGAAGAGAAAGCCCACCTTTTGGCTAGAAGTTAGTACCCTGGCAGAAACCTGATGCCTTCTCTTTATTCCTGTCCTTGTACAAAGTTGTCTGTCTTGGGCATGGGACAGCCACCCCAGTGACTAGCACGGCTGCCAATCTTAAGACCGGTGTGAGGTTTCCTCCTCATTGGTGTAAAGTGATCAGGTCCACATCTCTGGTCTAGCAGCTTCTGGCCAGGAGACCTCCACCAGGAGCCATAAGAAACTAGTACCCAACTGAATTAAAACCCAACTGGGGAGGTTTCCTAGAGAAGCTGGCTGTAAAGACTACATGTGTTGGAATGTCACTTAGATCATGATCGATGTCAGTCTTTCCTGGTCTGTCACTGTCCTCTACTAACTACTTAAATCATAAAATTGGATAATTTCCCCTTGTAAAATTGGTTTTCTAGTGTTTTCCGTGGGTCAGAAACAGCAGGTTCTTCATGGCCTTCACAGCAAGGCAAACTCGGTTCATAGACCAGGCCTAGGATGCATCTGGTCACGTTTTGCGACCGATAAGGCAGAATAGTGATCAATAGCGATTTTCATTTGAGGGACACCTCTGGTAGCTTTGACACCTGGAACCTCTGATACACCCTGTGCGGGCTGCCACCTGGGAGCCAGCTGAGGTAGGGGGAGGGTTTGCAAGTTGTCTGCGCTTTGTCTTCCGCTTGCCTTCTACTCCCTGATCATCTTGACCTAGTCGGTAATAGCCTGTTGGGAATCTAGCCTAAAGAAGTAATCAAAATCTGCCAGCAAATATTTGAAGAAAAAAACCAACCACTCCAATTTCATTATTACAGGGAAAAGGGAGAACGCTGCAAATTTCCAACATCAAGGAAAAGACAGTATAAATTATTTTACATCACTCGATGGAACGTACTCGCACAACAGAAAACAACACAAAGCAGGTTGCAAAATGTGCTATGTGTTCACAGATACAAGTTCAACTATATATAAGACACAGAACCTGAAAGGAAACGTATTAATGTGTGCTTGTAGAGGGAAGAAAAACTTAAGTGCCATCAGGTAGTATGTATATTCTAATAATAAAAGGCATGAAACATTGGGTAAAAGCTAAACATAACCAACTTTGTATAAACACTAAAATTTCCTTCTACCTGCATGAACTGTCAATTCTTGGAAGGAATGTCCTTCCAAGACATTCCTTAATGTCTTAATGTCCAATAGCGAAAACATTATTTAATAACATTACTATGGAGAAAAAGGGAACTAGCAAGGCTTTTGGGGAGGTGCAACCATAGGAACAATTCTCTATTATGGCAGGTATGAGTTCAGGTTTCTGAAGATGGCATCTGAAGGTGATGGTGACCGTTATGTCTGAGTGATGAAAGAGCAGTGACAGCCTGTCCAGCACATTTCAGAGGACAGTGACAATGCACTAGTCTCCCATACCTCAAAGAGCACATAGCCGAACCCTCTGCCGACTCCAGTAACTCGGTCTCTCACAATCCTCACTGCTACAATACTCCCACAATCCAGAAAGTGTTGCTCAACTGCAGATTCTTCAATTTCTAAAAACAAATTCAACGAAAGTGCAAGTAAGGACAGGATCGCCTTAGAAAAAGCTGGAGATGCTAAATAATATAGCAAGTTAATATAATATAGTTAAAAGAGCAAGCCCCATGAAAATCAGTCAAGTTAACATTCTACGCTTTTTCAAGATAGTCTTAAAACATTAAGTCTACTCTATTATTTTAATGATAAATGGGTACTTTTATTGGTTTAAACAAACTTACTGTATGGGAGATTCCCCACAAACACTGATCTCTTGTCTCTCTGAAACATAAAGAGGGTTGATAAAAATCACTGAAGCAGAAAATGGAAGTCATCCTAAAGTTCACTTTTTTTTTTTAAAGATTTTATTTATTTATTTGACAGACAGAGACCACAAGTAGGCAGAGAGGTAGGAGAAGGAGGGAGGAGAAGAGAGGGAGAAGCAGGCTCCCTGCTGAGCAGAGAGCCCGATGCGGGGCTCGATCCCAGGACCCTGGGATCATGACCTGAGCCGAAGGCAGAGGCTTTAACCCACTGAGCCACCCAGGCGCCCCCAAAAATTCACTCTTGCTCTCACCCCAAATCTGACTGGTCTCCATCTCCTGATTTAACCACACACCAGTCCCATTTGATTGTTTCTTCCATCTTCCTGCCCAAAAGCGAGCGAGCATCGGAGGAAGGAGCTTTCTGTTCACACTTTGCACTGACACATGGTAGTGCTCACGAAGGGCGTGCTAGACTGGCCAGCTCTCTCCGTGCTGGGCCAGACAGCAAGTATGTTGGGCTTTGCCAGCCATGTGGTCTCTGTTGTAACTCTCCCCTCTGCCTGTCACAGCACATTAACACATAACCTGATGGGTACGGTTGTGTGCTAATAAGACTTTATTTAAATTAACACAGGCTGGGGCGCCTGGGTGCCTCAGTCGTTAAAGCGTCTGCCTTTAGCTCAGGTCATGATCCCAAGATCCTGGGATCAAGCCCAGCATCAGCATCAGCATCAGCATCAGCATCAGCATGGAGCTCCCTGCTCAGCAGGAAGCCTGCTTCTCCCTCTCCCACCCCCCATGCTTGTGTTCCCTCTCTCTCTGTGTTTCTCTCCCTCTGTCAAACAAACAAATAAATAACACAGGCGACAGATGGATCTGGCTCTCAGGATGGGTCAAGGATCAAAGCCAGAGAGGTCTACCAGGCCTTGGTCATTTGTCAGCTAAGTCACTGACACCCAACTCTGATTCTGTGCTGAGCTCTTATAACGCAGCCTTCATTCACTGTGAGAGACCTTTGTAAATTGCAAATCTCCTGCATTTAAACCTGTGGGACTGCTCCCGGACAAAATCCAGACTCCTCAGCATGGCGGGCCACAGTCCTCATGATCTGGCCCCTCCTATTTCTCTAGTAGCAACTCTTACTGCTGCTTCTCCTCACACTCTATTGCTAATAACTGTATCAAGCTCTTGCCATTCCTGAAGCAACTTAAGTTTCGGCCCCCACCACATCTACTGTTTAAAATTTCTTGGGCCTAGGTAACACTGACTCATCTTTCAAGTCTGACAGAGCTCCTGTTCTCCTGAAGCCTTCCTTTGTCCCTTCTTGCTGGCACCTCCCCAAGTCAAGCGTCCCATTCCTAAGCTGACAAAGCATCTTGTGTATTTATCATAAAACAGCCCATCTGTTTGTCTTCACCTCTAACTGTGAACTTCTAAAGGACTAAGACTATATATATGCATCAGCCCTGCATGCCTGACACCCGGTAGAGACTCAAAAACAGTTTAAGGAGCAGTTTAACTTTCTTGATCTCAGTACTTGAAATAGGGTGCTGGCCCTGATGGTCTCCAATCCCTTGCAGGCTACCTCTCTCTGATTACTTGATCTGGGGGTAGCGGGGCAGGGAGAACCGTGCTCTCAGAAGCTGTTGACTGAGGTCCCTGTGCCACTCTGGGCCCCAAGGCTGTGACCACACAGGGCAAAAGTGTTTCTTTCTCGGCTTCCCTCACACTCACCGCTGATTCCACTCCTCTCTTAGCAAAAGCTCAGAAGAAAGCATTTCTCCCTCTGAGACTCTAGTGAAGTTCTTTAAACAACTCCAGTACCACTTACAGATGAAGTCTCGGATGCAAGGTCAACTCTAATCCGAAATCCATCTGCGATTAGGGCACCATTTCTGCATTACAAATACGAAGGGGGAAGATGGCTGTTAAAAACGAGCACAACTACAAACTGTAATATTCACTCTAAAGTCAAACCAAAGAATAAAGCACGTGTGCTCAGACATACTCAAACACAATCATTCTGCTTAAATCTCAAAGAAGTGAAGTTACCTTTTCAATGCTTTTGTAGCAGCGCGCTCGTCCTTAAACACTACATAAGCATTAATATTTTTCTGATCAGGATGAATTTTACGTCTGCACAACAAAAAAAGACAGTATGAAATCTTTTAATCTCAAAGTCACTAAAACAATACGGCTTGTTTCCTACTCACTCTCAATCAACACATACGACAAGAATTCCAGGGGAAGTTTTATATCTTTTAATAAATCTTTGATAACAACTCAAAAAATAACACACAACTTTATACATGTCACCTGTGCCTTATTCGTCATTGATCACTGTGAGAGAGTGAGCAGGCCCCCGTGCCATGCTATAAAGCTAGGAATGAGAATCTCAGATGCAGCTCTGTACCTAACACACATGTAAACAGATGTGACAGCTAACTTGACCTGTCCTTTTTACAGCAAAACGGAAACTACACAAACGTGTACAGCTTAGAGAAATATTAAAGATCAATATCCTTGCGGCCATTGCCCACCCCAAAGCCTCTGTCTGTGCCTCCCCTCCTTCAAAGGTAACTACCACCCCAACTCTTACAGAAACCATTTCCTTGTGTGGCTACACAGTTTTACCATTCAAGTATGTATTCCTTTATTTTATTTTATTTTGTTTTGTTTTATTTTATTTATTTATTTTTAAAAGATTTTATTTATTTATTTGACAGAGAAAGAGATCACAAGTAGAGAGGAAGGCAGAGAGAGAGGGGGAAGCAGAGTCCCTGCTGAGCAGTGAGCCCGATGCGGGGCTCGATCCCAGTACCCTGAGACCATGACCTGAGCCAAAGGCAGAGGCTTAACCACTGAGCCACCCAGGTGTCCCACTTCATTTTATTTTTTTATTTGAGAGAGAATGAGCGAGCAAGAGGAGCAGGGGGAGGGGCAGAAGGAGAAAGGCAGACTGCCCACTGAGTGGGGAGCCAAATGTGGGGCTCGATCCCAGGGCCCAGAGATCATGACCTGAGCCAAATCTGAGTCAGACACTCGACCAGCTGGGCCACCTAGGCGCCCCTATGGGGTTCTTCTTTTCTCTCTCTACCTTACTGTTCAACCTATCGAATTTTGCAGCCTGGATTTTGTTGAGTGCAAGCCCACAGTATAGTTCAACATGTACCTCTGTCCTCCCTATTTCCTGGCAAACTGGCAGTCAGATCCAGAGGTTTGATGGGACTCAGACTGGACCCCTTTGTCCAGACTGGAGGTAGTGCTATGTTCTTTCAACGGGAAGCACGCTGTGACTGATTTTTACTCTTCTGTAATGACAGCAGCTATAGCTGCTCCGTGCCTACACCCACTAATTCACTAGGTTTGCAGAAAGGTCACATAATTTAGATGTGAACAATCAGCAAAAAGGGCCTAGTAATGATCACTGATTCTCTCTGAAGCCATGGACCTACTGTCTTTGAAGTAGCAAAAATGCTAATAAACAAATGAGTACCATCAAAAAAGGTACTGGGAAACGTCAGGGCATTTCTCCTGGCATTCTGTAATAATATGCTACACTAAGAGTTTTATATTGATAAAACCAGCTACGGTTTACTGAATGCTTCATACCAGGCACCATGTTAGACATTTTATGTATTTCATTTAATCTCACATCTCTGACATGGGTGTTACTTTTCTGATATTATGGATAAGAAAGCTGAGACTCAGAGGAGTGCCATGATCACAAGGCAAGGAGTGGCCAACCTAGGACTTAAAACAAATCTAGCTGACTCAGAGAGTTCTTCCTTCAGTCCTGCAACACTGGTAACATCCTAATCAGTATGTCCTAGGGCAATCCTAGTGTAATGTTCGCATCCTCCCCAAATTTGTAATGTTGAAATCTATTTAATGCCCAATGTGATGGTAACAGAAGATGACGCCTTTGGGCGTTGCTGAGGTCATGGGGGTGGAGTTCTCATGAACAGGACAAGGGCTCTTAAAAAAGAGACCCCACAGAGCTCTTAGCCCCTTTTTTATCTTACAGCTTAACATTTTTATCTTACAGCACAAAATGTGAGGCACAGTGAGAAGGCACTGGCTAAGAGTCAGGAAGCTGACCCTCACCAGAATGCAACCATGCTGGCATCAGATTCTCTGACTTGCCAGCCTCTGAAACTGGGAGGAGGAAATTTCTTTTGTCTGTAAAGCCATTCAGTCTGTGCCATTTTGTTATCGCAGCCTCCACAGACTAGGACAAACCCCAAAACAACCTAAATGGAAAATGACTTTAAAACTCTTAATTGTACTGTTACTTCATGATAAAAGACCTTTTCTTGGCACAGGGAATGAAGAGGGCCAAGAATGCAATACTGCTCCTTTCTACGTGGCAAGAACATGTTTTGTATCAAGGCTGATGATTTAAAAACACTAATGACATTTAGAGTTCTACCTCTACGTAGAAGGTAGAAAGCCAGGAATAGCATCATTCCCACCCTAACAGTAAGAAGCCAGACATCCTATGACATTGTGACTTTTGTCGAAGTCATCAGAGCTGAAGACAAAGGGAAACCAAGCAGCTTGAAAGCTAAGCAAAGACAGGCCCATCAGAGGAGAGAGGAGGCAGCTCTGGCTCACAGGACAGGTGCCAGACAAGCCAACTGGATCGATTTCAGCTAGGATTTAATAAATTGCTAAAGCATAGTGTGGGCTGGGCCTGAAATGAATCTCTCGGATGCTGCCAACCCAGGGATGCACACCCACTAGCAGTCTCTGCTCACTGACCTCTGCTGGAGTCCCCGGGAATGACTTGAGGGCAGGCGAGAGCCCAAAACAACCACGGGGTGTGGGCTACAGAAGAGAAGAGCCAAGGCTCCCGTGGGAAGGGCACAAAGCCCCACCTCAATTCTCCCTGTGGAGAGGGCGAAGCTGCTGGGGCAGAGGCAGCAAACTCTGTTACCCCCAGAGTACCTACTGCAGGGCAAAGAGTGGGAAATGTTCTCGAGCACAAGACCCACCAAAGGCACAAGACAGTGGGGCTGCCACAGGAGGGAAGGCCAGCTGGGTGTGCACAGATACACAGACATGGTCTGCCTGCATTTGAGGCTGAATCAGGACAACAGAGAACCCCGCTACCCCCGACCAGACGACCCAAAAACCGCACTCTCTGCATTGGATCTTCAGTAAAATTTAAAACTTTTGCTCTTCAAAAGACACCCTTAAATAACTTAACCACAGGCTGGGACAAAATATCCAAAACATATACACATCAGAAAAAGGTCTTACATCCACAATAAAGAGCTCTATACAAGTCAGGGCACCTGGGTGGTTCAGTCGGTTAAGTGTCTCGATTTCCCATCAGGTCATGATCTCAGGGTTGTGAGACTGAGCCCTGTACTGGGCTCCACACATGAAGCCTACTTAAGATTCTCTCTCCCTCTCCCCCTCCCCACTCTCTTAAAAAAAAAAAAATTAAAAAAATTAAAAAGACAAGCTGCCAGAAAATGGGTAAAATTTTTGAACTGACACTTCTCCAAAGACTAGATACAAACAGCCAATAAGCCCAAGAAAAGACACTCAGTATCTTTAGTCATCAGCAAAACAGAAATTAAAACCACATGACAAACCTTCTGAATGGCTAAAATTCAATGACTGACAACAAGTGTTGCTGAGGATGTGAAGCAACTGGAGTTCTCACACAGCTGGTAGAATGCGAAACGATGCGACCACTTTGGATATTAATCTGGCAGCTTCTGAGAAAAGCGACATATACCTACCACAAGACCCAGCAATCCCACGCCTCCAGATACTTTAGGAAGAAAAATAATTTGTACACCAATGTTGTTAGAACCTTTATTCATGACAGCCCCAAACTGGAAATAACCTGAATATTCATCAAACTGGTCAGTGGATGAACACCTTTTGGCACAGCCACACCATGGAATACTACTGGGCAATTAAAAAGAAAAAAAAAAAAAGAACAAGCCACTGAACATCCAACAGTAGGAGCATATCTCCAAATCATCATGCTGAGCAAAAGAAGTAGGTAAGAGTACCTCCTGCATCATGAGTCCATTTACATAAAATTCTAGAAAATGCAAACTAACAACAGAGACAGGGAGGGGGTCAGTGGTTGCTTGGGGATGGGTGGGGATGATGATACGCAGAGTGATGAAGTAGTCAGTATCTTGGGCATGGCAATCACTTCATGAGCACATACATATGCTTAACCCACAGAATTATAGATTTCAAACATATGCAGTTTATTGAAGGTTAAGTTATATCTTAATGAAGTAGAAACACGCTAAAAGAATCGGCTATATGAAAAGCAAAGTATGTTTTACATGGCAAAAATCCTCCAAGCAAAAGAGCAACGGAAAATATTTCTTAATTCAAATCACTAAAGGCTAATTTCCTCAACATTCCACATCAGTGAGAAACAATTCAACAACAACAAAAATGGGCAAATGATAGTAATAATTTAGATAAAAGGACACACAAAAGACTCCTGAATATATGAAAAGATGCCTGCTCATAAGAGAAATGCAAATTACAAGTATCACTTTTCAACTATCATTGAAAAGCTCAAAAACATACATTTGTAAAGGTACAGAAATACACATAGGTTACCATCTCTGAGATAGCAGTCAAAATGACAAATGCAAATACCCTTTTGGCCAAACAATTCCAATACTAGAAGTTTATCCTAGAGACAATTCTCACATGTACAAAATCACATGCAAACAAGGTTATTCACTCAAGCATTATCTGTAATGGCCACAAGACCGGAAAAACACCTCAACACCCACGAGAGGAGAGTTTGTTGACACAAGTTATCATATACCTTACAGAATATAGAGTAGCTCTGAAAAATAGGGAAGCAATTTTTACACTGATAAACTGATCTTCAGTTTACAGTAAGTGGAGAAAAGGAAATGTGGAGTACACATACTGAATACCACTGTGTCAAAAGTTATGTGTGTGGGGAAGAACGTATATGTGTATCAACTTATAAATGCATAAAACGTCTCTAGGAGGTTATACAAAAAAGTAAAAATAACAGCTGCCTGAGGCAGGAAATTGGCATAGGGAAAAGGTCTAGGAGAGAAACTTTTCACTGCATGTGCTTTTTTATTTGTTTTTCAAAATAAGCTCTATACTCAGCATAGAATCCAACGCAGTACTTGCACTCACAAGCCTGAGATCAAGAGTTGGATCCTTAACTGAAAGGTTAAGGTGCCATGAAAGTCTATTATTTAGACTCTCATGGCATCATCAAAGTCTATTATTTAATACAACTATATCTATAGATGTAATCTGTATACTTATTAATATATCTATATCTAATACATACAACTCTGCTTGTAAAATTTACTATTTCATGTCCTTAGGAAAAAAACACCAACATTAGAGATTAATAGGAAACCCTGCACAGAACTGAAGGCAAATGAGAAATAAAGGTTGAATACTTTGAACTTACATGTTATAATTCAATTACATTTAAATTTTTAAGATTAATGAGAAATAAAGGAGTAGTAAGGAAACTTGAATGTCTTATCCTTGGCATCAGGTAGATAGGAGGGTAGGGGAAAATCCCCTGAGAATATGAGCCACAAGCCATACTACCAGCATGGTCCCCAAACCCTCAGAGAGCTTGAAGTGGTCTTGGGCTGGCAGTACCCATAGGTGACTGACAGACACAAACATTCTCTCTGGGAAAACCTGACCAACCAACAGCAACTATGGGGCATTCCTGATTTTCAGATGCACCCTGCTTCAAAATGTTAAGATATGGGAAAATGTGTGCCTTAGAACTGACAAAATACAGTATTTATGATTTACACTGGAATAGCTAGGCACAAAACTTTCTTATTCTCTTCCAAACACTATGCTCGATTAAATGTCCTTGAAATTTCTCATGGCACATTTTTCCAATAAGTTGTCTTATAATACTTTCTGTCACTCTACCATTTCTGTTAAGGCTTAAAGACAAACATCTGAAAAGTTTATATGCTATTACAAACATAAGAAAATGGTCCAGTACAATGTCTTACCCAAATATAAAAACCCATGAAAACATGATCTCAACTTTTAACCAAAATTTAAGAGAGTTTAAAACTACTCCCTTTTTGTAATTATAAACTTACTTTATTGCTGCCAACTTTTTGGACAAAGTTCCCTCCGCTGGAATCTTTTAAAAGAGAAAAAAAAAGAGTATTAAGGAAAATTCATTATTTGAAATATTACTTCAAATTAATATTTTAATTCATTGAATTCTAAATATCTTATTCTGATGTGATGTGATTAAAAACATTCAAGGGAAATACTGCATCCTCTCCTAACGTTATATGAACGAGACCTGGTGGCTTAAGACAAAATCTTCCAGTGATATAGGACCATATTCAGTTTTCATAGCCATTAACCCTCCATCTAGATGGAAGTAAACATAATGTGCCCTGACTATGTCAGATGATTCAAGGAGTCTCTGGTCATGAGGGAGCACTGAAGTTGAAAATGCGTATGAAAAATATAAGGAAAACATTTATAAAATAAGTTGGAAAAAGGCAACATTTCTAAATTAATATTTTATGGTAAATTCTACAGGATTTTAAATATACTGAACTAAATTGGTAAATAATGTAAAGACATACTATTTCATCCATATGCTAAGAGTTGATATATGCTATATGCCAGCTGGCAAAACAAAACAAACAAAAAAACACCACCAACAACATGGTATCTTTAATTGGCCAAATAGGGGAAACCCCCTTTACATTCAAGCTCACTTTTATCTTCAGACATACACAGCATTCCTTTAGTACTACCTAACAGTGAAGGAAAAACCTGACCAGGGTTTTTCCCTGACAACTTTATGGAAGAGATGGAAATTCAAGTCAGTGATGTTCTGGAAACAAAAGTCAAATATCCACCCTCCAACAACGGTATCATTTCACTATGTGAACTCATTAAATTATGACAAGTCCAAGTGTCAATACTATATACTAAGAACACCACTTCTCTTGGGCTAGATTTGAACCTATTGATTCAAAAGGCTGTGTTTCTCCATCTCACTAATACCAACATGTTAATAAGTCTGACTTAAATGCAATACATTTTAAGATTTGCAACTTCAAGGTGGGGAGAACACATACCAGAGAACGAAATCGTACAGATTCTATTTGTCCATATTCTCTGAAAAATGACTTCAGCTTCTAAAACAAAAAAGTATACATATACTTTAGTTTACTTTCAGAACATCAAATAAGTGTTATAAAAAGGATTAAGTAATCTGATAATTATCTTATCTGATAATCTTTTACTGTCAGGTTTTATTTTAAGAATATTTCAAGAATAAATGACTATTCAGTTGGAAGACAAAAAAATTCTTCTGAAATTTATACATATGCACATGTGTATACATATATATATTCATAAAAACACAACTCAAGTTCTTGTTACTACCCATAAGGTACACAACACTTTTTTGTTTTTTTAAAGATTTTATTTATTTATTTGACAGATAGAGATCACAAGTAGACGGAGAGGCAGGCAGATAGAGAGAGAGAGAGGGAAACAGGCTCCCTGCTGAGCAGAGAGCCCGATGTGGGACTCGATCCCAGGACCCTGAGATCATGACCTGAGCCGAAGGCAGCGGCTTAACCCACTGAGCCACCCAGGCTCCCGGTACACAACACTTTTGTTCTTCAATCTTTACCACATATAAACTATAAAAGTAAAAGGGTTTATTTTTGATTTAGTGAACCCCACACAATGGAAGAAACTTAGGATGTATTCATTCATTTACACAACATTCATTGAACCTCTTGCTATGCACTAGGCACCATTTCAGGTTTATATTCTAGTTACATGTAACAGAAGAGACAGCTGGAAGAAAGAAAAAACTGGGATAGAAGGCCACCACAACACATCAAGTAAGATTTACAAAAGATTGAATCAGAGCAGTGACTATGAAAATGGAAAGGAAAGGGTGTATTGGAATCAATCCATACAATGATGAATGTAGTCATTTTAATGAAGTTAAATGTTAGTAATTATTAATTATGCACTTATTCAATAAAGGAAGAGTATCAGTAAAGAGTAAACAAAGTTTGATTAATGTCTCTGAATCTTTACAACATGCAGGTTACACACTTACCTTCTTGTTACACGTGACAGGCAAATTCCCAACAAACACAGTTCTCTCATTCTTTAATCTCTCCTCCTCTTGGTTAATTTCAATTTTCTTCCTTTGATTTACAACTGTGTGATCTACATCATCAAGTACTTTTTTATCTGCTACTTTAATACCAGATTGAGAATTACTCTTTTTTTGTTCCTGTTTTTGATGAATTTCTTCTTCTAAATCAGCACTTGCTAGAGCATTTTCCCTTCACGAGGCAAAAAAAAAAAAAAGGGCAAAAAAAAGAAATAAGAGTCATTGACGTCAGGTGTAATATTTGACAAAGCACAAGAATCAGAAATATTTCCCAGGGCACCTGGGTGGCTCAGTGGGTTAGGGCCTCTGCCTTCAGCTCAGGTCATGATCTCAGGGTCCTGGGATGGAGCCCCGCATTGGGCTCTCTGCTCACCAGGGAGCCTGCTTCCCTTCCTCTCTCTCTGCCTGCCTCTCTGCCTACTTGTGATCTCTGTCAAATAAATAAATAAAATCTTAAAAAAAAAATTAAAAAAAAAAAAAGAAATTCCCACCTACTTCTGGCTTTCCCAAATATAAATGTATGATTCATAAATATATTTAAATTTAAAAAGCAGCATTATCAAAAAGTGACTGGTATCTTCAGAAAACTCAAGATTAGAAAAAAATGAAGCTCAATTTTTTTAAGATATGTTAAAACTGCCAGGTAACAGCAGAGCAACCAAACTTCATTTCAACAAAAGTTGGTTCATTTAAAGCTCTTGGAGATTTAGTTTATGCTCTATGAATGCCTAGTTTCATTCTTGGCTCTAGAACTCTAGGGGAACTGCTGCACTCCTGGTGGGGTCTATAAAGGTTAATATGGGCTGCAAAATACTTTATAAAAAGCAATCTGGTCAACTCACAACCTAGTCAAACCAGACTTCCTATTTATAATAGTTCTGTAATAGCTAAAGGACTACTTGTTAAAAGTACATTCTAAGATGGTGCATGTGGATAAGTGAGATCTGAGCGTCTCTCCTAACATAGAACAGGACCAGGATCTTCATTTTTTTTTTTTCCTTAAAGATTTTATTTATTTATTTGACAGAGATTAGAAGTAGGCAGAGAAGCAGGCAGAGAGAGAGAGGAGGAAGCAGGCTCCCTGCCGAGCAGAGAGTCCAATGTGGGGCTTGATCCCAGGACCCAGGGATCATGACCTGAGCCAAAGGCAGAGGCTTTAACCCACTGAGCCACCCAGGCACCCCCAGGATCTTCATTTTTTTAAGTTTGTTTTAGTAATCACTACACCCAGCATAGAGCTCAAACTCACGACCCCCTGAAATCAACAGTCACATGCTCTTCCAACCAAGCCAGCCAGGTGTCCCTGGGGGCTAAACTGGATAAGTGAGATCAGTAAGGAGACAGTTGTAATTGAATGTATCTGAGAAGACAGCAGACCAACTAGAGAAAGGAAGAGATTTAAATTAAAAGCATCATCAGGACTTAGCAGCTGATTAGATGTGTAGGGAAGAGAGAGTATAAGATGACTCCCAAGTCACTAGCTTTGGCAACTGAAAAGCTGGTGGTACCACTCGTGGAGAGAACAGGTCTGATGAAGCATTCTGACCTTGAGGTGCAGCTGACTCTTGAACAATTTGTGTCTGAATTCCACTTACAAGTGCCTTTTTTTCTAATAAATACAGTACAGTTCTATAAATGTATTTTCTCTTCCTTAGGAGTTTCTCATTAACACTTTTTCTCTAGTTTATTTTTTTAAAGATTTTATTTATTTATTTGACAGAGAGAAATCATAAGTAGTCAGACAGGCAGGCAGAGAGAGAGAGAAGGAAGGAGGTTCCCTGCTGAGCAGAGAGCCCGATGTGGTACTCGATCCCAGGACCCTGAGATCATGCCCTGAGCGGAAGGCAGAGGCTTAACCCACTGAGCCACCCTGGTGCCCTTTAGTTTACTTTATTATAAGAATATATACTATATATAACATAAAATACTTGTTTAACAACTGTTTATAGTACTGGTAAGGCTTCTAGTCAACAGTAGGCTCTTAGCAGTTAAGTTCTGGGGGAATCAGAGTTCTATGTGGATTTTTTACTGTGTGGAGGTCGGTGCCCCTAACCATTCCACTGTGCAAAGATCAACTGTATATAGAGGAAGATACAGGTGCAAATCCAACAGGCAAACAGATCAGGAGAGAAGTGAGAACGATGCAGCCATGGGAATAAAAGAGATTGCTCAGAATGAATGGTAGAGAGAGAAAAAGCCAGAGCAGGTGACCAAATGGAATCCTGAGGAAAATCAACACTTACAGGGCAGTCAAAAGAAAAGGTACCCACAATAACACTGAGAAGGAATGGACAAAAAAAGAGAATCAGAAGAGATTGCTATCAAAAAATCTAACAGCTGCAGAAAGAAAAGCAGCCATGTGAAATGCAAGCGAGGACTCGAGACAAAGGGTTACTGTCTATTAAATATGGCAACTAGGTCAGGATGGCTCCACGGAGCACTGTTTCAGAAGTCTGATCAGATCATAGAAAAACAAACACAAGATGGGATCGGGAGGGAGACAAACCATAAGAGACTCTTAATGTCACAAAACAAACTGGGGGTGACTGGGGAGAGGAGGTAGGGAGAGGATGGTGGGGTTATGGACATTGGGGAGGGTATGTGATATGGTGTGTGCTGTGAAGTGTGTAAGCCTGGCGATTCACAGACCTGTACCCCTGGGGCTAATAATACATTATAGGTTTATAAAAAAATTTAAAAATAAAAATAAACCACAACAAGCAAACAATCAGACTACAAGTTCATGGAAGATAAAACAGATCCAGAAAAGGAAGAGAACACAAGTATCACATTTTTCTGAAAGCTTGACTATGAAGAGAAAGACCGAGGGAATTATAGGTAGCAAACGGGGAAGCAGGACTATAGACAGGATTTGGTTTTGTTGGATTTCTCTTTTTAGGATGAGAATCTTGAGCACATTTGTATGGTAGACAGAGAAAAGACACAGGAAAAAGAAGAAAATGCATATACCTGATGGCACAATCCTTGAGGAGGCAGAAGAGGCCTGTGCTATTATACACATCACAGGTTACTGAATTAACCTTGGACAAAGAGGAAGACACCTTTCTCTAAGAGAAAGGGAAAGAAATTAAGGATGTGCATAAAAAGTAGTGGTTAGTAACTGTTAGCAATTAATAGCTCTCTGACTAGGTAACATCACTTGGGGAGAGAGAAACAAGAAATAAGGGGTTTGAAGAGAGTGGCTTCATGAGGAAAGTTACACGGGAATGTTGTGATGTTACTGCAATTTGGATCTTTTTTCTTTTAAAATTATTTTTATTAACATAGAATGTCTTATTTGCCCCAGGGGTACGGGTCTGTAAGTCATCAGGTTTACACACTTCACAGCACTCACCATAGCACATGCCCTCCCCAATGTCCATAACTTCACCACCCTCTCCCTACCTCCCTCCCCCAGACAACCCTCAATTTGTTTCCAGAGATTAAGAGTCTCTTATGGTTTGTCTCCTTCCCAATCCGATCTTGTTTCATTTCGCTATTTGGATCTTGATCAAATAAACTGTAAAGAAAACTTTTTTAAGCTAATGGCAGAAATCTGATCTCCGACTTAGTAAGTTTAAGAAAACAAAACTCACCTTCTTCACGGCTGAAATATTTACAGATTCAGATTACAGATCTCAGATTTGCTTCCACTTAGCGCGGGAGCGATGAACCGGGTAAAGATGAAACAAAACTGGCCAAGTGTGAGTAACAGCTGATGCTGGGTATATGAGGTCCCCCTCATCCTTTTAAAGTTTTGGAATGTACATGAAATTTCCCGTAATAAAGCTTTTAAGTTTTGGTAAAAATGAGAACTATGAACTGAGGAAAAAATGAGTATCGCAAGTCCAAGAAGCCTAATTCCTCTACCGTCTAACTTAACGTCAACTAAGAGGATTGTACTAACCTGCTGGCCACCCTTTTGTCTGCGTCAGAAAGTTTCTTCTTCGCTTTCATGTTGTTTGAAAGTCCTTCCAATAGTGGTCTCTGAATTCGGGATGTTCTTTCTTCCTCATCCCGTTTCCTTTTTCCGGTGTTCTCCTTTCAAAATTGAAGTTACGTTTGACCCCTCATCTTTTTCAATCATTTAGGAGTCTTTCTAAATTAGCAGGTTTTCTTTCCCACTGGATGTCCAGCAAGGAAACGTGACTTCACACTAACCCCACCTGCCCCGCCCTCGAAGCCAAGCCCAGCGAGGCAGAGAGAACGCTGGGACTCACTTTAGGCACCGGCACGTACACGGGCTGCAGCGGAGGTTCCGAGGAGCTGAAGAGGGACGCCAGCCGAGCGGCGCGGTCTCTGGGCCGCTGGCCCTGGAACAAGCTGCCGGAGACTTGTCCAACCACATAGTCTTCTGTCAGATTCCTGCCGACGCCACCGTCCGGGTGGTCCCTAGACACCGACGCCACAAGCTCAGCCGCGCCGCGCCGCGCGGCGCCCCACCGTTTCGCCCGCCCGAGCTCCCAAACGCCCACCTTCGCCCAGGCAGCCGTGCCACGCGCCACTCACCCTTCCACCGCACCTCCCTTTTTCTTCCGTTTATTCTTCCCTTCCATGGGCATGCTCACCCCAAGGCTTCCTGGACAGCAGCCTTCGCGCGCGCTAGCACTGCTGGCTCCCGGCCACTTCCGCTCCCGGGCCACGCCCCTTCCGCTCCAGGCCGCGTGGGAGCCGGAGACACCGGCCCGCCGGGGCAGGGCTTCCGGCACCGGTTTGGATCTCTTCAGGTCTGCGAGAAGGTCTCCTCGGAGTGAAGGAGTCTTCGGGAGTCCTGAGACCTGAAGTATAAATAACCACCAGCCAGGCGGGGTGTGGGGCTTCAGCTCAAGCGGACGGAACACACGGTCGAAACCCCCCGAGTCGCTGACGACGAGGGAGAAGGGTTTACCAAGAACGGCGGTTACAGGGATGTCGGCTACGGAACATTAACGATTGGTGAATCGGCGTCAGGCGTTCGTGGGTATTCTCTGCTTGGCTCTGGCAATTTTTTTGAAATTTGACACATTTCAAAGTTAAGTTTAAAGCAGTGGACGCCCCAGCCGTATCCTGCTCTGCCCTATTCTACCAGATCCTTGGCGCTCCGAACTCCTATTTTCTCAGCCTAACCTCCAGACTCCTCCCTCCAAACCGGCACATTATACCCTTTTTAATTTCTTGTTATTCCTTCACCCAAAATTATGTCTTTACTCATTTTCATCTGCAAAATCCTGTCCATTCTTCAAGGCCCAGCTGAGATCTCACTTAGGAAAAGTTCTTAGCTATTTGCAATAGATTTTTTTCAACCCTTCATCAAACCCTCTCTAGATGTCTGGGAATGGGTGTCTTACTTATCCCATTTTTGTACCCCTATTTGCTGTACCTAGTCAACATAGGTAAACTGATTTTTAGGTAACAAAAGATAAATACTAGATTATAATTAGATAATTGAATCCAGAACTTTGGTGGTTAAATCGGATTGAATTTTGACTCTGAGTATAGACCTGCTTTCTGAAAGCTCTTAACAGAAGTCATTGAGAATGTAACTGACCTTACATAGACCACATCAGAAAAATGGTAAAAAAAAAAAAAAAAAAAAAAATATTCATCTGCTTGGCCATGGTTTTGTTTTCTGAGTTTGAATTAGGTTTCCCCTAATTGTGACCTTGCAGTATTTCACAAAAGATGGGACAAATCGAATTGTCCCTATTTGCAATTCAAGTATCTCCCTCCATCTATCCTAAACAGTCCAACGAAGAAATTCTTTTTCCTTCAGAATGTCTCCCAATCCCATCCCTTCCCTACTCTCTCTAGCATTATTCCAGGAATCATCTTCTGTAGCACTGCAACCTCATCACATCTGGCCTTTCCTGACTCTTCCTCTCCATTCTTACCTACACATTCCACTTCCAGATGAATCTCCCTTGAACGTTACTTCAAGGTTTGCATCTCCTCTTTGTCACTCTCACATCTGTCGTCACAATTCCCATATGCTCATTCATCACCCACTTAAACACGTATGCACTGGTTTTCCCTGACCATCCAGTTTAGCGCATATTTTATTAGGCCTTACATATAGTACTTCCACAACTAAACCATGAAAGTATTCCTCCAGGGTATCACATCTAATACACACAAAACCTATCATGATGTTAGCCAAAAATCCCTGAATAGTAGATTAAAATTAAGAGAAAGGTGGAGAAATGGACCCAAAAAAAGGAATGAAAGGCAGCACACATTTCTAGAGGAAAATAATTAGTGAGGAATAAAGAAGCTGTGATTGGAGAGTTAAGAAATGATCCCCACTGCCATTCAGAACTGGTTTTTAAGTGTTTGGAGATCACTTAACTCCCTTTTAAGAGTTTAAAATATAAAGCCATTTCAGAGGAAAGAACACACAAGGGGTGCCTGGGTGGCCCAGTCTGTTATGTGACCAACTCTTCATTTCAGCTCAGGTCTTGATCTTGGGGTTGTGAGCTCAAGCCCTCCATCGGGCTCCACACTGGGCATGGAGCCTACTTTAAAAAAAAAAAAAAAGGACAAAAACACTTTGTAAAAAATGTTAGTGGTTTTATCTATGCTGCTTCAGATTCTCCAATCTCCCCAGATTAAGAAAATTAACAAGATCTCTCAGTTTATTTCAGTAAGGAAAAAGAAGTTTTGGAAAACACTGCAAAAAAAAAATATCCTCTTAATTTTAAGCTAGGTTGATAAAAGCTAGTTCAGGAGACCAGATGAAAACTTAAGTCAAATTCTGGTAATACCAAGAAATTCTCAAACTGTCCAGAGGAGCTGGAGAGAAGGGAGAATTGTCAGGAAGGCAGAAAGGCCCAAGAGTATAAACCTCAATTCCAACAAAGTTTGGAATCGGTCCCTTTTAGAGCACTGTTTCTGTAACATACAGAGTAGATTGTATTAGTAGTTCCTTGAAAAACAAGGTTTCATGACCAGGCAAGATTGAAAACAGTAGGGGTAAAAGGAAGTTAGCCAGGTGTCTCTTCACAGGCCTCCTCAGTTTTTAATATGCTACCAATGAATCTCTGTGGGAAAAAGTGCTATATGTGGCATAGATATTTGACAACTCCCAAAGCATTTCCAGGAACCAGTATTCTAGGACTTCATTTTGGGAGCACTGTTCCAGATTTTAAAACTCATCCCTAAGAAGTTAAATTTCTGTAAACATAAATAAAAGGGTCATCCCAAAGGTAATTTAAAACTATACATTTGAGCTTTTTAGGCCTTAAAAACTGTTTTAAGAAAGGACTCTTGGTGGAAAGTTCATTAAATGGGGCAAAAAACCTAATTACCAATTTTTTTTAAATGGGGAGAAAAGCAGTGGTTCTCAACCCAGATGCATATTAAAGTCACTGGAGACCTTTAAAACAAGATCGACATCCAAGTCTCATCCTAGACCAATTCAGTACAACTCTTTGTGGGGCAGCAGCTGCCCCACCACTACCACCACGGGCACAATACAGAGTGTTGACTTGTTTTAACAATGCCCAGATAATTCCAATGTGCAGTGCGGCAGAGTACGCTAAAAGTCAAAGTCCAGTGAAATGACAAGACAGAAAAAAGAAAAAAATCTGCGGTGATGGTTCCACATATTAAAAAAAAATATTTTTTTTTCATCTTTAGACAAATCTCCAAGTCATAAATATTCATGTTTGGAATCAAGCAAAATAGTCTATAGAGTGTATATACAATGATAAAAATTGCCTAATAAATCCTGTGTCTGGTTAATGGACTTTTAATTTTTATAGTATAGTATTTCCCTTTTTTTGGTATGTCAATTAACCCCTTCTGCTAATACAGGCTGGAAATGTATGTTCCAGTCAGTCATCATATACAGAAATGAACTAAAATTACTTAATCTTTTAGAAACAAAATCAAGGATTCACAAACTATGGCATTTTATTTCAGAGCCTTTGCTTACATTTGTACAATATATTACATAATTCTTCATTGTTTGCAGATCCTAATATATACTTTATAGCTTTTATTCTATAAGCTTTTTCTTCAACGTTTTGCTGTCAACAAATCTTTACAGTCCTGTACAAATTTGAATAACTTGAAACCATTTTCAACAAAATTAGTTACTTTAAGCACACACTACAAGACTGAAAATGCTTTTCTTAGAAAAGTTGAGTGTAAAGGATTCTGACACGTTAGCATCTACAACAAAACGCTTCGAAATTCTCACATGTCGTATTGCCAGAAAACAAATAAAACATGCCAGCTCCATCCAAAAAAAGTACACAGAACTACAATTAAAACAGTAAAACAGTCTGTACAGTAAAGTACTGTGTATTAACAGTGCCAGGTATTAAATAGCTTGAATGAACACATCCGCAATATACAAATGTCTTACAAAGGTGTAGAATTAAATACAAGTGCCAAACAGAACAGAGATTGGAATCATACAACATAAAGTCAATACAAGTGAAAACAATTTTGCGCTCATTTTGGATTTTATACAAGGCATTTAACTTTATAGGCCTACCACCCCAATTAGCTATTTATACTTAAAATAACAACCATCCTTTTGAGACAGTTCATATCAACAACCTTGAACCATACTAATACAGTTTACTTGTTCCTGAAGTCCTCTTGTTGTAGCTCATAATAAAATAAGCAATACAAATGAATTATCTATATTTAAGGAAAAAGAAACATTTACAAGAAAACACAAAAATATAACTGTTATAATTCATTATGAATAAATATACACTTTGAACTGGCTAAGTACAATCTTTATACATTGTTTAAGATTTAATACAGTTTATTAGCCATTTTCTTTTTTCACACAATGTATTATATCAAAATTAAAAAAAAATACTGATTTATAGAAAAATGGCAAAGTACAGTAGTTCCATTCCAATTTGAAGGGGCGTGAAAAGCCACTGCAAGACCTTTTAGCCTAATTCAAACCTGTAAACATGTTCAGTCTTTTTTAAAGAGAATCTTTAATATTTGGTTACCAGGATTGATGTCTAATATCCTGTTAACTGCAGGTTTTGAATTTATTACATGTGCTTGACTTATACAATTAAAGCCACCCTAAGGTGACTTGCTTTAAAAAACAATTAGCTCGTACAAATGAAAATAGGTTCATATTTTTTCATAAATAAATGGAAAAATATCAAATGTTCCAGCTTTAACAAAATACAAGGGAATACATATACAGTAAGTTATCTTAACCTGTTCTGGCCCACCGAATAACTATGCTTACTGTATTGTCTTTACAGGCAGTGAAAAGCCTCCATTTGCCACAGTGGAAGGCCTTCAAGTTACCAGACACACAATTCCCAGACAAGTTGGAAACAATTATTGCTTGAGGAAAAGCAGTTCATTGTACTTTTTCTTCATAAAAAAAGTGCACTTAAGTGCCAAGTCAGCTTGTCAAGAAACAATTTTTAAATATAAAATAGTGCTTGTCTGATTTTTTTTTTTTTGTGCCACTGTGCAGTATAAAAAAAAGACGTGGCCCTCAACAGCCATTAAGTGCAAAGTGCTTTAGCAAGTCCTGCTGTCACCTGCACTCAACTGACATTCCATTTTGTGATGCGCTGGACATTGACGGTTCAGCTAAAGTTAACATAACAGCAGCTGTTATGGAACTGGA